ACTAAACAATTTTTCTGATTTAACAGCTCCATGCAGAATTGAATTATCTATCGATCTCCGCAAACCGCCGATTTTTAGCATTAAATTTTGATTTTTCAGAGATGTTTTTCCGAAGCCCTCGATATTTATATAACCCAACTACCAGTTGCTAGGTAGTTGGATTATATTAAACTATCTTGTGGTCGTGTATGTGCACAGCAATATGCTTTTAAATAATACGTTTATTCTGACAATACCATTTGATACAGAGTTGTTAACTCTCATACAAAAGACCACTCCTAGCGAGTGAAACACGACTATTTATAGGCTTACGAGAGAGATAGGAGTGGTCGATTAAGAAGAACCAATAAAACTACATATATAAATAAACGTATAAAGAATAAAGAGCTAGCACCTAGAAAAACACGCATAAGTGGTGGATTAAGAAAGAGCAATAATAGACTATGCCACGTTTATACGTAAAAGAAAATAAGAGATAAAATGAAAGAAATAGAAGATAACGTGACTCGTATCGTGTATGACATATGACTTGCTATCTAACACCTTCCCGCTTACAAAAATGAATGCCCTCATTTAGAAGAAGAAAAGCCCTCATTTTTTCCTTCTTATTTCAAGAACTGACGAAGTTTAAGAAAATGTAACTGGGTACTCTAGGATCCGAAATACTCGGTAGCATCCCAGGAACGGTAGGCCAACGTCGTTCATGTTTATAGAATCCACTGATTTTCTCGTGAATTACTCCACTATATGTCATTCGATAGAGACTTTCACGAGCTTCTAAATGAGCTATGAATAAGTCTTTCAAAAATACAGTCTCCGTTTCAAGAATAACGCCGGTTCTTCTATGTAACGGACGCATTTTGGTCGCACAAAGGCAATCATGTGATCGGTATAGTACATGCAGAAAAAGAACTAAAAAAAATGCTATTTTCGCTTCGCTATCGTCGGTGAATTAATGGTCGCAAAGGAACTCTACTTTCATCTGCTGTAGAGACACACAACCGCACCCAATATACACGCTCTCTTCAGTAGAGAAGAAATACCACTTCTTCCTGTTCTTTTACGAGACAGAACGGATTGGATTTTGTTTGAGCATGCCACGACGCGTTTCGACCGATGCTCAACGGTCTCATCAGGTGGTCTGAATATTCTTCTGTTATGAACTCGAAGATATTCTGGCTAAGTCACTTTCTGTTCTAATCTGAACTCGAGAAGTAACACACTGAGAATTGTATGATGCTATTTAAAATGCTATTTTCTCTTCACTATCGTCGGTGAATTTTTTCAGTTCTTTTTCTGCATGTACTATACCCATCATATGATCGCCTTTGTGCGACCAAGATGCGTCCGTTAAACAGAAGAACCGGCGTTATTCTTGAAACAGAGACTAGATGAAGAAATGATCTAATATAGGTCATTTTTCTGATGAATAAATGATGCAAAAATCAAATAAAGCAAAAGACCGAGTGTACTGACAAAAGAGAAACAAAAGAATATTTTTCATGTTGTTGGACACCCACTGCAGCGAATTCGACGATTCGTTTTGTATTTCAACATGATACTGATGAATGGTGTCTAGATGACGTAAGCGTTTTTAATGGGACAACGGACATGTTAATTAATGGCGGCTTTGAAATGGGAAGTAGCGCACCAGGATGGGTAATCAGTGCTCCACCGATAACAGTTGTTAATGGTGCTAGTCAGGCTCATTCGGGCAACTGGTATTTAGATGATTGGTCGACAAGCACACCAGATAAAATTACACAGACGTTTACGGTTGTTCCTGGACAAAACTATAATGTTAGCTTCTATTTGTACAATGGTGGCACTTATAATGCTTTAGGTGCCACTTGTTCGATAAGAGTCATACTTTCAACATGATTTCTATAAAGAATTAAATGATAACTTATATCTACTTTGTTTTGTTTTGTTTTTTATAAAAGTAACATGATTTCAAGAATGATTTTGTCGTATAACACTAAGTCAATATGACCGAATATAATGAAATACAATGATATAAAAAAGCTTCTAAAAAACGAAAAACTTTTGGAGTATAGCGTAATCAAAGTGACGTGACACTAGTTAAATCTATAAGCGCATTTACGTCATGAGAGATGAAATATTGCATGCTTTTTAATGTTTCTCATATTTTCCATCACGATATGTAGTTAGGCATGTACCAATACCCATCATTATTGAAGACATTGTACAATATTATTGGGGATCCAATATATTTAGTCCCAATAATATTGGATACCGAATAATATTGTGTTCTACAATACACTGAATTTCAACTTTTTAACCTTAATTTAACCTTTACATTCTTAAAACAGTGAGGATGAATATCCTAATCGGAATATATATCCTGATCGAGCTATATATCCTAACTGTGATATAAAAATGTATCCCAATCGGCATACAGAGCATGCGTTTGTACTGTAAAAGTGCATTTAACTCTAGCGACCCAATCGAGGATGAAAAGGCGACTTTTCTCTTTCTTAACATCGCTCAGCATCTGATACTTCTTATCTCAAACTTCGAAGAGCATTTCAAGGGCTCTGGAAACCTCTCGGAGCCGCGTTTTCCCTTTTGGATCCAATATTAAATAATATTATGAAAATCCAGTGTTCGAATAACGTTTGTGTAAGAATTTCATAATTGATCACTAAGTGTTACCTACATTTTATTAGAATTTTAGTGGATTCTTGCAAAAAGTTTATCTTAACCTGTATCATACGTATATAAGATAAGAATAGATCAAGGCAGCTCAGTCGCACCGTAGCTTGGTCCTATTACCAATGTGAGGTAATGCACCATTCTTTACAGTAATAGCACGTGGAACAACATAGTTATTTCCTGCAGGTGGTAAGGGGGTGCTCCAAAAATTTCTAGGTAGACTGAAAACAGAGGCACCACCAGTCAAACCGATTTGATAATTGGTGAAGCGTGCGCTGTTTCGGTAGGGTTCTTCTACACGAATTTCTACGCTTCGCTTGAAAGTCGGTTGCCACCATTTTTTCGAATTGAAATGGAATCCGGGTTCTTTGACGTACAGGCCTTGCGTTGACTGGTCACCATTGGGATATTTAGCGACGATCGGTCTTCTCTCATCGATATATAACTCGTTGAACTGATCGAGTTTGACATAGGATGACAACTCAGCTTTCATGATTGTGCGACCAGCTGATGTCTTGGCATGAAGAGACCATTGTAGCTGTAAAAATGTCCCACCACTCAGTACTACGCGTTCATCCTGGTAGTTTTCAATCACCAGATTACTGTCATTGCTTGTCAGTGCGATCGCCCCGATTTGACTGCTGGTCGTAGTGGCATTCGTGCCCAGATAGTACGTACCTTCGCGTATGCTGATGCAGCTGCGCGCAAATCGGCCAGCGGATAATAAACTGGTTGAATCCAGTCTGATTGTTGTTGTACGGCTAATAGTACAAACTGTTCGAAACAGCGATTGAGTAGCAAACATCCATCATCTTGATTGGAGTGCACAAGTAAGAATGCTGATGTAGCCATCAGCCGAGCACGAACAAAATTACAAGTGCGTGTACGTATCGAGTTTCCGATGATACGAAAGCGAGCTTCGTCTCTTGTGTCAATAGCTGTTGAGGATAATACAGGTCCGTTTAAGTTTTCCACTGCGTCTGAATATAGTAACAAATGCCAAGCCAGAGCGCCAAAAGTGGAGAAATAGGCAACATAAACACTTGGAGTAGTCAGAACCGGAGGATTGATCGTAGAAAAATGTACGAGGTTACCGTTTTCACTAAGGATACACCCGCAGTCGTAATGCACTCCACTTTCGAGAATTCTCTTGGTAGCTGTTGAACCGAAACCATATGTTCCGTCCAGTTCAGCTGGTGTAAAGGCAAAAGTCCAGAGAAAAGAGTCAGGGCCTGCTAACAGATCGAAGCCATCAAATTCATCAGAGCATGCCGCAAATAGAGTTCATCTTCCGATCTGAAAGTTTTTTTGAATAAACCATTTAAAACATTTGTTTCGTCTGCATCGTCATTATAGCCTATTAAATATTTTTCCGGTTCAAGTATCGCTCTAAAAACTCGTTCTTTTTCCTCTCGCAATTCAAGTTCATCAACTTCCTCTACTAATGCTTCGAATATGCTATGAAGATTCTCATTATCGGCTTGACAATAATAATCATAGTAGATTTTTAGCAGCAACATAGCCTTGATTTCGTTTGGCCGCAATCGTGCATCGTCGGATAACAATTGTTCCGTGCACCATTTCGTTAATGGCTTCCATTTTTCTGATGAACTATTGGCGAGACATTCATCTACTAATCCACTAAGACTCAAATATTGTTGATGCAAATGAGGAAATATTGCGCAGTCAGATGCGATAGGTGATGATGTAAATTCTAGTTGATCACACAAGCGTAAATGTTCGTTGTCTCTGATCGCTTTTGCTCTAGTCTCGAACATTGCATACAATTTAGACGACCATTCATCGTTGATATTGCGTAGAAAAGACGATTGTAGCATTTTCATCAAATAATTCCAAGTTCGTTTCATGATGATTGTTGACAAAAATAGTTTCATAATCGTATCTAAGCCATTCTCTTGTTTTTATAGAGGTACATAGAACTTGAGAAAATATTCTAAAAAGTCTACCCATTCTTCTGAATCTCCACCATAGTTATTAGAGCATAATAAAATAGCTGTACATTCAACCAATAGATTAGTTGAAATCGACGTATAAATAACTTCGATTACAACATTATGGCTTTCATTAGTTGTTCTAGGTGAAGTTGACTGAAAGACGGACTGTACAGACTTCGGTGTAACTGTATAGTCGTTCAAATGATTTCGTAGATGGACGACGAGCATATTAAGCAGTGGTTGCTGTTGTAGAATACTAACTTTACTGACCTCGCTCATCGTATTCGAAGGATAATACGGGAAAGTATAAGCTAAAGACTCTTGGTTTCCACTCCACGTATCGGCGAAACAAGCTGGCAAGATCGGTAACAGTACCTTCAAAATATTTAGTGGTGACAAATTATCAACTGTGTCCAACTCGGGTTCAGTATGATTTTGTTTCATGATTATTCGAACAACCTTGTCGAAAAGAAATTGTTTCATTGAGAAACTCATTTGAGAAGAATTGTTTAAGAACTTGAGCACTTGTGTAGCATCGACTGAAATGTTTTCTGCTTTCGCGTTAAGTAGACTGAGCATCCATTGTGAGATATCAAACAACAGTTTATCCACTTTTTCGGGGAGTTTTTATCCAACTTCGGCGGAGTTGCCCAGATAAAATTTTCATCTTTTGATTATTTCGGCGGGGGCGGATAAGGCTATTTAGCGTTACCCAATATTTTCGAATAAAACTTACATGGTTGGGATCAGCGTTAAATTCTGAACAAAAGCTGAAGTCTCCCTTGGGACGTCGAAACATTTTTCTTTTCTTAAAAGACTGAAAGATGTCGGACGCAAAATTTCCTATATGCGGATGCCGAAACCGAAGGAATCTATCGAACTCAAAATTTTGATTGAAAAAGTCTTTGAATTATACATCACCAAAAATCAAAATTCATATTTCAATAAGAATGAATTAATTTGTATCCTCTCATCCGTGACATGGTAGATGTGAGCTATATTTCGACAAAAAGAATATAATGAAAGAAGGCCATAAACGGAAGAAATGCAGTATTGAACAGTACCGAACTCCGCTATTAACTGATATTGAGATAACGATGTTAGACAAAAGCCATAGCGTTTGTACACAATGATGCTTCACTCACTGTTTCATAATGCGTACTACTTTTTGTGATACTCAAACAAACACAAGAACTGAAGAGAGCGCAGAAGAAGTTTGTAATCATTTTGTCGTTGGTGGTATAGTTGAATAAAATTTTATACATATGTTAATGCCTTTCGAGAGGCAGAATATTACCTCATTTTATTTTATTTCAATTTAATTTGTAATTTCAATTTAATGGTAACTATGTTACTTTGTCTTCATTACATATATTAATTAAACGAAAGAAAAAGAAGTTATTATGTGAGAAGTTTGCCTATTCGAATAAAATTGTCAGCATCGAATCAATCACTGGTATCTGAAACACTCAGCAATGTGTCACAAGTGTCTTCTAATACAGGAAACTTCAAAGCAACACTGAAATATGAAGAACAAGCGTTAGACATTAAAGTGGAGACATTTTAATTCTACTTATGTGTTCAGGAAATCCATTTTTCGAGTTTCTCACAGGTTCGTTGATAATTTAACAGGCAATCTTTAATATTGTAAGAGCATGAGCAACCCCCAAGTGAACATTTCTAGATCACTCTCGAGGGTCACGATGC